GACAAAGCACACACTCTTGTCTCTCTTTGCTGTAAGTTTGCTCCTTTCGACTAGACTAAGGGCCTCGCGGCACCACTGTCGAAAATGCGATTTTAGACACTTCCTCTTCGCCACACAGGCTGTCGAAGTCGGAGACGGGAAGAAAATTTTCAAGTTGTCAGAGAATGCTTTTCGACACCTCCTGTCGAAAGTTGTTGAATCCCCAGCCTGCTACTCCGATGCTTTCGACACTCCTCGGCTGCTCCGTCGACTTCTCTTCAAAATTTCATGAGTGGGAATAAGGTCGGGATGGACTGATGCTTGTCGTACCCTCAGGCGCGTTCGTCTTTTTCCATCTTGTTTTCACAAGTGCGCGCACTCTACAGTGCTGTGTGGCGAAGGGGGCGCAAACTGTCGAATGGAGGCTGTCGAATTTGTTCTGACAGCCGTTGAAATTTTTGGCCTTTCGACTGTGGTGTGGGGAGGCCCTAAGGGCCTCGCCACACCAATGTCGAAAACTGAATTTTCTACATTTTCTCCTCGCCACACAGCATGTCGAAATCCGAGATGCAAAAAAAAATCAGGAGCTGTCAGGACTCAGGGAAAGGATTTCTACACCTCCTCTCTAGACGGGCTCGTTTCCACTTCAGGCCTGCAACTTGGACAATTTCAACAGTCCTCGGATGGGATGTCGAATTCTTGCCCGAATGTCGAAAAAGAGAACGCGCCAACGCTTGTCCTGTCTTCACCCCAGTTTGTCTCTTTTGTGCATACGACTCGTGAGTTCTTCACTTGGACATGCTGTGTGGCGAAGATGTTTTTCTGTCGAAAGAGGGAATGTCGAAAATCTCCTGACATATGTCGAATTTCGTGATGTTTCGACATTGGTGTGGCGAGGCCCTAAGCTCCCCCCCTACGATTGCAACGGATGGAAGAGGAGTCAGAAGACTCCTAAACCACCAGTACCTTCCATCCTCTTTTTCTGGTTCGGATTTCTGCTGTGTGCCTATGAAAAACGAACCAGCGCAAACCTTTCCCGGCCCTTTTGGCTAAAAATAGATCAAGTGTAGCTATAATTTGTTCTGAACTTCTCATCACTTTAATATCTGATCCGTGGTCCATAGGACCACAAAAAAAAAAAAAAAAAAAAAAAAAAAAAAAAAAAAAAACAAACAAACAAACAAACAAACCACCTTCTTTCCCCCCGCCTAATTTGACAGAGTTGTAATTGGATCTGAACTTCCTTTTTCTTTTTTTTTTCTTTCTAAGGAAAATGCATTTTATTACAAGCTGGGAAAGTTGGGAAACGGGCCCAGTGTCCCTTACACATCTTATGCTGCAACCATTTGGGATGAACCAGGCACTTCCGGCGCAATTCCACCAATCAATGAACACTAAACATTCAATGTCTAATACACGAAAATCAAAACTTCCCCGACGTAGTTCTATTTAAGGATCGCAAAAATTCGAAATTGTCTTTCCATTATTCTATTTAAACCACCAGGCTCATCGTAGCATGAAAACCGGCCGCATGCTTGGGTAGTGCTCCAACTGGCAGCTTGAGACACAAGTCCAACATGCAGACAATCAAATGCAACCAAGCAGGCAAGAGAGCCCAAGGGGAGGTGAAGGAAGACGGGAGGGAGAAGAGATACGAAGAAGAGAAGACAAGTAACCGTCCCTCTCTCTATGTCGTCTTCTCTTCTTCTCTCTTCTTCTTATCTCTTCTCCCTCCCGTCTTCCCTCACCTCCCCTTGTGCTCTCTTGCCTGTTTGGTTCCATTTGATCATTTTGATTGTCTGCATGTTGGACTTGTGTCTCAACCATATGCTTGGGTCTTTTCGCCTGACATCGCTGTGCTTTCATGTTTATTTTTCGAACATACCTGCGCTCGGTTCTTTTTCTTCGTCTTGTCTTGTGAGTAGTTTGCTCTGTGCACACTGCTTATCTGTGTTTAAACGTGTGACACTGTTTGAATGTCTGACTAATGAATACTTCACATGCTTGGGTAGTGGTCACACTGGCGGGGACTAACAGATACTTGCCAATGGCATGCACCTTCTCCATCTATGGACATGATCTCTTCATCCCCGCAACCGGGACATGGCCGCTAGTTTCTCACTATTGACATAGAGGTTTTCCTTGTTTCACTTTTTTTTTTTTTTTTTTTTCAAGGTGCTTGATTAAACTAGGGCAACACACTTGAGGTATCATCGTGGAGCTGAGAGTGCTGGACGATTCGGACTCGTTGTATTACTTGTAACGCTCATCTGCAGGACTCGAACTCAGGTCTGTTTACCTACAGATCTCATGGGGTACCTTATAACATGAAACTGCAGGACTCGAACTCGGCTCTGTTTACCTATACATCTCTTTTTTTTTGTTTGTTCTTTTTGAAAAACTGTCCGTTTGGGAGCTAGGGGTGCTGGTATGAGCCGACGCCCCTATCTCCCCCAGGGAGGCTCCATCTATTGGTGGGGAGCAGCATCTCATCTCATGATGGGTGTACCAGCGCTCAATTCAGACTCCTTATTACACTCATCTGGTCCAATCACGATCATTCAAACTTCAAGTTGGGTCTGTTTAGTTTATCAACACCTGGTGTACCATTCCGCCAAATAGGGTCTGCTTAAACTTGGAAACTACAAAAAAATTGGAACTTGCTAAAAAAAAAAAAAAAAACAGAGAACACCAGGGCGCCTTCACAGTTTGAGTTTGAAAATGCATTCTGAACACTGCAGGGTTTCTGCAGTATAGTCAGCTAAGTCAGGGCCCAAGTTTCAAATGCAGTCGAAAGAAACTCCGCGTTGCAGAACAGTCACACCGCGCAGTTTGTATTAACTTTGTAACTGCAGTTCAGTCAAGCACGTGGCCGTTTTGTTTGTTTGTTTGTTTGTTT